GTTAATTTTAGGAAAATTGGTCTGCCACGAAGATGTGGAGCAAATTCAAGGGGAAAGCAGAAATGAGGAGGCCAGGGAAGGCGCTGTTAATGCTTAAACAGATGTAACGAAGTTTTGTGGTAGACACAACCCAAAAGGAAAGACAGGTACAAGTGTAAGATGCACAGTGTTTCAAAGTGTTTTGTCAACAAAGTGAATCTTGAAAAGCAAAGGTAGAGCGAGGGGAGACTGAAAAAGTCATTCATAAAAGCACAAAGGGAAGGCTGAGATGCTGGGTGGGGTAAGAAACTCAGGAGTTCGGCCTTGAGTGTGTTGACTTGGATACTTCTACAAAATATAGATGGGGAGATGTCCAAGGAATTGCTGAAAACCAGGACTGGTGCTCACAGAAAGGTTAGAAGAAGGTCACATTCCAAATCAAGGTATACCTGGCTGATGCTTGAAGACCATCATGCTTGAAGACCATCATTCTGGAAGCCCATCTTGACATCCCAAATCACAGTCTAACACCATTTGCCATCTCTCTTCCAGGTGCTGTGCTGTTGGTTTAGGAATGTGGTTTTCTTGGATCTTGTTTGGTTTCCACTTGTCTTGATACTGATATACAATGGCTTTTAAATGCCCAAAATAAAAACAAGCATTGGGCCAGGTGTGGTAGCTCATGGCTGTGATCCCAGCACTTTGGGAGTCTGAGGCAGGTGGATCACTTGAGGTCAGGAGTTTGAGACCAGCCTGCGCCACATTATTAAATCCCATCTCAGTAAAAATACAAAAATTAGCTGGGTGTGTTAGCACATACCTGTAGTCCCAGCTACTCGGGAGGCTGAAACAGGAGAATCGCTTGAACCTGGGAGGCAGAGGTTGCAGTGAGCCAAGATCGCACCACTGCACTCCAGACTGGGTGACAGAGTGAGACCCTGTCTCAAAAAAAAAAAAAAAAAAAAAAGCAAGGATTGCCATGAAACCTGAATTAGTCCCAGAGGGAGAGAAAGAGAATTCTTATTTGCTTTACAAATGGATAATTCCTATAGAAAATGCTTTATCATTGAATCCCACTAAAAGGGCGCTGAAGACATTTTTTAAAACATGACCTGGCTTATATACAATCAATTAAAACAGCTTTCTAGGCAAACCTTCATTTAAAAAGTAAAATACGGCAGGGCACGGTAGCTCACACCTGTAATCCCAGCACTTTGGGGAGGCCAAGGCAGGTGGGTCATGAGGTCAGAAGTTCAAGACCAGCCTGGCCAGCATGGTGAAACCTTGTTTCTACTAAAAATACAAAAAATTAGCCAGGCATGGTGGCATATGCCTGTAGTCCCACCTATTTGGGAGGCTGAGGCAGGAGAATCACTTGAACCCGGGAGATAGAGGTTGCAGTGAGCTGAGATCACACCACAGCACCCCAGCCTGGTAGACAGAGCAGGAATCCATCTCACAAAACAAAAATAAAAATTAAAAAGTAAGGTATATTCCAACATTTTGGACAGACTTACTACTTCGTTCTTGGGAGAAATGAAAGCAATGTTACCGGAAGGAAGATAGGACATTAGGCGGCAGTATGGTATATTGAAAAGACCTGGAATCAGGTTTAAATCCAAAGGTGCCCCTTATTAGGTATATGAGCATGAATACATTGCTTCCCTTCTCTGAGACACAATTTCCACATCTCTACAAGAAAATGATAGAATGTTCTGTCCAAAGTTACTGTATTACCAAAGGTAATGTATATGAAATTGCTTTGCACAGGTCTTGGCACAAAGTAGTTGCTTAACAAAGAGCCTAGAGTTCCTTGTGGTGGTCCTCCTGGAATCCCTTCTGGCCCCAAAATGAATGTCTCCCCCTTGACTCCTTCCCTGGGGTGCACCATGCCCCCCAACCATAATTCTTATTCAGAGCTTTGCTCTCTTGGAGATGTTTCTCTTTATCCATAACACATTGGGGCATTCAGGAATACTGGTCCTGCCCTTTAGCTGGAGGACAAGCATTTCAGACCCAAACCAGGGTACTACATCAAGGAGGTTCCAAACTCCACACAGTGCCGGGTCCTTCTCTCCTCCACTTCAGGACAAGATGAAGACATCCTTCTTGGCTCTTTATTCTCTCAGCCTCCGGGAAAGAGTCAGATAATCCTCATAATCATGACTTCTTATTAAGCATTTACAGAATCATGCTACATGGCATCATTCTGGGTCTTTGGTTATAAAGTCTTATACTTTAAGTATTCATTACTTTTAAATGACAAAAAACACAATTACTTTTGCACCAACCTAATACTTTTGTGAACAGTATTTTCTTTGATCTGTACGATAAGTCTATGGGAAAATAATGAGGTAGTTAAGAGCACAGACTGAGTGGGTTCGAACTGGAGCACTATGACTCACTAGCTGTGTATCTGGACAGTTACTCATTCTCTCTGTGCCTCAGTTGCCTCCTCTGCAAAATGGGGATAATAAGAGCATCTATCTCATGTGAGTTACTGCAGAGCTTAAATAATATATCTGTGAAAGCTCCTAGAACAGTGCCTGACACACAGCAAGTACTTTCAAGTGCATTGTAGCCCACACTCTTCCAATGAGAAAACTGAGCCTCAAAAGTTGAGACAACTGCCTCCAAGTCACATGCCTTAAATGACAGTGCTATATGAAAAAATGCTCAATGTCATTAATCATCAGAGAAATGTGTATCAAAACCACAATGAGATACCATCTCACACCAGTCAGAATGACTATTACTAAAAGTCAAGAAATAACAGATGCTAGCAAGGTTTCAGAGAAAAGGGAATACTTATACACTGTTGGTACGAGTGTAAATTAGTTCAGCTATTCTGGAAAGCAGTGTTGTGATTCCTCAAAGAACTAAAAACAGAACTACCAATCAAACCAGCAATCCCATGACTGAGTATATACCCCCAAAAATATAAATCATTCTACCCTAAAGACACATGAACATACATGTTCATTGTGGCACTATTCACAATAGCAAAGACCTGGAATCAACCTAAATGGCCATCAATGATAGACTGGATAAAGAAAATGTAGTATATATACACCATGGAATACTGTGCAGCTACAAAAAAAGAACAATATCATGTCCTTTGCAGAAACACGGATGAGGCTGGAGACCATCATCCTTAGCAAAGTAACATGGGAACAGAAAACCAAATACCACATGTTCTTACTTATAAGTGGAAGCTAAATGATGAGAACTCATGGGCACAAAGAGGGGAACAACAGACACTGGGGCCTACTTGAGGGTGGAGGATGGGAGGAGGGAGAGGATCAGAAAAAATAACTGTTGGGTACTAGGCTCAGTACCTTGGTGATGAAATAATCTGTGCACCAAACCCCCGTGACACAGGCTTACCTATGTAACAAGCCTGCACAGGTATCCCTGAACCTAAAATAAGAGTTCAAAAACAAAAATAAATGACAGTGCTAGAGCTTAAACTAAGAACTCTCTTGATAACCAGGATCACACAAAATTTGATTAAAAGAAAGCAAAATGAAAGTCTGTTTCATTCCCTCTTTTATAGAGAATTTCTTCATCAGAGCTACCTGTGTCTTGCCATTCCTCTCCCTTCATTCTTCCTCCCCTCAAAAGATTAAAGGTTACATTGTGGGAAAAACCAAACAAACAAAGTTGTGTATTGGGATCAATCTAAGGTTGACTGCTTACTCTCTCATTCCTCAGCTAGTCCATTCGGTGGGTCTCCCTCATCTTGGATCAGATTCTCTGATAACCTCATTACTTCCATTTATCTGTTTAGCAAATACTAATTGAGTCAGCGTCCTCCTAGGTACTAGATGCAAAGACACAGTCCCACCCCCCTGGGTGACAGTGTAGTTAGTCAAGTCATTGTTTACTAGACGTAACTGAGTTACCAAAGGAAATTATGAAATGTTCTTCTCTTTAAAAATAGGATAGCTTCTTAGTCAGCTGCCTGTCTGGCTAACGTATCTAGAAGACAAGAGAGCAAAGGCCTGGGAGAGATTCATATCAAACAGAGGGGAGGTTAGCTCTTTGTAATTTGACTAACAGCCCAGAACAGAGCTGAGAAGACCCAGGCAATGTATATTTTGTATGCCATTGCTTTTAATGGCTGCAAATACTTTTATACCAACCTAATACAGCAAGGCAGTGAAGAGACAGGTCTTGGTAAGAATAATGTGATTTTTGCCTCACAGCCCTGCCATTTACCAATGGTACAGTCTCACACAACTTCCTGAGCTCTTTCTCAGCTTCCTTATGATATTCCTCATGCACGTGGGCGAGATGTCAAGAAAATGGTATGCAAAATGCTTGGCACCGAGCTTGCTACATAGCGGGTGTTGAGTAAGTGGTGACTTACAATGTTATAATAGGGCAAAGACATGTTCTTCTCCACGGACAGGGGAAGGGGGTGCCCACATAGGCCAAGCCCACCTAGATTGTGCTTCTGAAAGGGGCTGCCATCTGTTACAACAGGCTTCCAGAAAAGTCTAAGCCAGGTTTGCAGCCATTAAGCACTGGACCAAGCTGTCAACCTCTAGATTGGAAATGCTATCAAGCTACTAATGTCATCAAGTAGCCAAGTCACCGTCTTATGCAAAAACTTCTACTTTGTCTCTCTGATTTCATCTTTGCCCTCTATTGTCTAATCTTAACACAGTATCCAAAGAATAAGTAAATCAGATATGCCATTCCTCTGCCTCAAGTCTCCCAGTGGACATCTTTTTCTTGCAGAATAGTCCATTGATATTAAAAAGAGAGATTGGCCAGGTGCAATGGCTGATGCCTGTAATCCCAGCAATTTGGGAGGCTGAGACAGGCAAATAACTTGAGCCCAAGAGTTCAAGATCAGCCTGGACAACATGGTGAAACCCCAGCTCTACAAAAAAATACAAAAAAAAAAAAAAATTAGCCAGGCATGGTGGTGTGTGCCTATAGTCCAGCTGCTCTGGAGGCTGAAGTGGGAGGATTGATTGAGTCCAGGAGGTGGAGGTTGCAGTGAGCTGAGATTGTGCCACGACACTCCAGCGTGGGCAATGGAGCTAGATGGTCTCAAAGAGAGAGTGAGAGCGAGAGAGACAGAGCTTGTTGTTAGCCCATAAACATGTTTCTTCCTCCAGGCAGACACAATCCTGCATCAAGGCACAAAGCTTGGTGAGCTCAGGCATCACAGTGCAGTGAACAGATCTTCGCAATGCTAGGCTGCCTGGCCACTTCCTCTCTCACTTCATCTCTTCTTACTCTTCTCCTCACCCTCTCTGATCCAGCTGCAATTGAGTTCTTTGAACAGCCCATGCATGCTTCTGCCTGGGTTCCTTTGCACTTTATCATCCCCTCTGTCTGGAAGCCTCATCCCATAGACAGTCTCTGTCTTGCTCCCTATCACCTCATTTCCTTCTCTGTTTGAATACCATCTTCGAGTGAGGCTTTCATCTACCTCCATATTTCAAATTGCAATACCTCTCCCCCTGGGAAATATGGCCATATTCCCCACCCCTGCTTCATAATCTCCACAGCACTCATCACCATTTAGCATACTATACTACTTATAATATATATTGATTTTACCCTTTCTCCTCCCATTAGAATGTAAGTTTCACGAAGGCAGAGAACCTTTACTGTTGTTCACTGCTATATCTCCAGGGCCTGGCACATGGCAGGAGTTCAGGAAATGTCCGATAAATGATTGAATTACATGAACAAGCCCAACAGTTAAAAAACTTCAGCTCCTGCCTCCTGCCCATGCAGCCCCAGCAGAGCCAGTTTCATGCCTTGTTTGATTGCTGCTCCGGTCCCAGGAGGGGTGGAACCTGCTGTCTCACCAAGACTTGGGCATGAGACTGGCCTTCCCCAGAAGCTCCAGGTCCAGAGAAACAATACATCTAACCAAAGTCCCCCAGCGAGTCTTGTCACACAGTTGGTGCTCAGTGGACACTGGAATGTTTCAACAGCCATGTCTTCCTGTTGCTGAACTGAGCTACTGTCCATGGGACAGATGGTTCTCTCTCCGGCATGGGATCAGAAGGCCTGGTTTCAAGTTCCAGGACTGCGCCTCACTCATTGTGTGTTGCTGGCTGAGTCACTTAACCTGCTTGAGCAAAGAACAGAGAAGCAGTCAGATTTGGAATCCACTGGGGAGGCAGGGTTTGTAAAACTTGTTGATTAAATGAACAATTTATGAGAAGAATCAAAATCTAAGCCAAGCATCTGGCCTGAACAGCTGGGTGGTCAGTGATCCCATTTCCCAGAATGAAGAAGATGGGAATACAGGGGTGTTTTTGAAGTGGAGTTTGGGTCAAGAGTTCGGATTTCTATGTAATGGAAGTTGTGGGTAGCCATTGTGAGGATATTGACTTTCCTTCCAAGGAGCTGGAGAACTTCTAGAGGCCTTTGCCACACCTACCTGGGTCTCCCAGCAATCTCCAGTTAACAGCCCAAGCAAGTCCTTCTCTCTGGCTGTGTGACCCTACACAGTATGGTCCCCACTGCCTCTCTGCCCACTGCCCATGGGACTCCTTGCTCTCTGGTGGTCCCTGCTCTGGGGTGTGTCCCTTGCTGTCTCAGCAGGGCCTTTGCATCTTCCAGATACCCAGATACCCACCTGGCTCTCCCATCACCTCCTTCAATCTTTGTCTAAATGTCACCTTCTCAAGAAAACCACCTGGCCACATCACTCTTTGAAAAAACAGCAAAACTCTACCCTTCCTCTCTCTAATATCCCCTGTCTCTCTCACTGGGTTTATTTTTCTTCAAAGTATTTACCACATTGTAATTCACTCACACCTTTCTAGTTACAAAATCTCTGCTTCCTCCCACTTGAATATAAACTTCAGGAAGGCAGGGATTTTTGTTTGCTTTGTTCGCTGCTGTATTCCCACAGCCGAGAATGGTGCCTAGCATGTAGTAGGTGCTCAATAAATATGTTAAATTAATTGAAATGCATTATGTTATCTTTCTTTCATATGAAAACCATTGTTCAAATATTGATTTGTTTTTAATAGGAAGTAAGAAAGAGGAAATTCATGTCTGAAGTTCTTTGCTGTCTTGATGACTCGTTTCCCAGGTAAACTAAGACAGTTGGTCACTCCTCCTATCTCTCCATTTCACAGTTGAGAAAACTGAGGCTTAATGAAATTCTGAGGCTCAGTGAGGCTTAGTGACGTTATAATTTTTCTAGCACCTTCAAAAAACTAACCTTGCATGGACCTGGGTAGGTCATCCAGCCAAACAAGTATAGGTGAGCAAGACCCAGCATGTTTCTCTTACTCACACCCACTCATGATGTGTCAGTGTGTGGGGATTAGATCTTAGATTAGCACAGATTTGAAAAGCCTTGCCATAAATAAAGCTGTGAGTAACCTTTGTGTGGGATCCTGCAGAGGCAAGGACTCTTCTAGTCATCAGCACAGGACCCTGGATCTTGGCTTGCCTCTTTGATATTTATTAAGCACTACAGCCTTTAAGAAAGGCACACACACTTGAATATTCATAGCAGCACTATTCACAACAGCCCAAAGGTAAAAACAACCCAAATGCCCATCAAAAGATGAATGAGTAAACAAACTGTAGTACATACACACAATGGAATATTCATTCAGCCAGTAAAGCAGAATGAAGTAATGATACATACTACAACATGGATGAGCCTCAAAACAGCATGCCAAGTGAAAGAAGCCAGACACAGGACAAATGTCATATGATTCTACTTACAGGAAACGTCCAGAGTAAGTAAATCTGCAGAGACAGAATGCAGATTGCTGGTTGCGAGGATGGCGGGGAGGAAGAGTGGAGAGTGGCTACTTAATGAGTACTGATGGGTTTTTATTTTGGAGTGAGGAAAATAGATAGAAATGGTGATTGCACAACATTGCAAATGGACTTAGTACCACCTAATTGTTCACTTTAAAGTGGTTAATTTTATACTATGTGAATTTCATTTCAATTTTTTTTTAATGCACATGCATCATTTGTCAAGTAATCCTTACATAAACCCTGTAAGTTAGATATTGCTACCATTATTCCCATGAGAAAACTGAGCCCAGAGCTGGAAAGGACCTGGCCAAGGTCCCACAGGTGCTAGACTTGAAGCCAAGTTCAGGTTGGCTCTGAAGCCTTGGCCCTTCTGAGCCAGCAGCCACTGATCCTCTCAGAGCTGGGCATGACCTCAGGAGAACCAAGGGTGTCTGCAGATGGTGCTCAGGAGAGAAGAAGAAGGGTCAAAGGGGAAAGGCTTTGAGGTCTCTTTGGGGTTCCAACTTAGCATCAGCAAAACTCAGTGTTTCAACTTTGTGGCCCCTGGTACTTTGTTCACATGGTATGACTGAGCTACCCAGGCTTGATCTTTGTTCCTCTTGACTCCGTTTTTCTTCCTTTCTTTCTTTTTTCTATTTTCTTGAGACAACATCTTGCTCTTTCATCCAAGATGGAGTGCAGTGGCACCATCACAACTCACTGCAGCTTCAAATGTCTGGGCTCAAGCAATCCTCCCGTCTCAGCCTCCCAAGTAGCTAGGACTAAAGGCATGCACCACCAACCCAGGCTCTTGCCTCCTTATATCAAAGAACAAAGACGGTCGGGCATCATGGCTCATACCTATAATCCCAACACTTTCGGGGGCTGAGGTGGATGAATCACCTGAGGTCAGGAGTTCGAGACCAGCCTGACCAACATGGTGAAACTTCATCTCTACTAAAGATACAAACTTAGCCAGGCATGGAGGCACAGTCCTGTAATCCCAGCCACTTGGGAGGCTGAGGAGAACAATCACTTGAACCCAGGAGGCAGAGGTTGCAGTAAGCCAAGATCATGCCATTGCACTCTAGTCTAGGCAACAAGCACAAAACTCAAAAAAAAAAAAAAAAAAAAGAACAGCCAAAGACCATAGATAAGGAGTGAGATTGGGGACTGGGATAGGAGAATAAAGAGTTAGAATACTACAGAACACTAGAACACAGGTCTTAATCTCCTATTTCTCTATCCTTCTTTAAAATGTCTAAAGTCTTTGACTCAGCAATGCAGCACTTGAGTGACTTGAATGTAAACATATTTTGAAAGAAGAGCATATTTTAGGGAATTTCATCGCAGAAGATTTGAATGTGGTGTAATTCAGCTTGCTGGGAGAGGCGGGATGGCTGCTGGGTGGATAGAAATGGAAAGATGCAAGTGAATGTGGCAGACTAACACAATAACAGGGCTAATGATTCCAACATTTTAAAAGTTTCACAGCTCCGAGTGAACACAGGAGACGAGTTCCAGTGGGAGGCTTCTAAAATATCCGCTTCGACAGTTTCTGCACTTTTTGGTCTTCTTCTGTTTGTTTCTTCCCCAAAGCTTATTAGCACCTCTGTTCTATTTGGGAGACTTTGGCCACCTTAGCATAGGGAGGAGAACTGGCTCCAGGGGGCTGAGCCCCCCACCGCCAGTGATAGGTCTCTGAGGAATAGAAGATTTGAGTCCTGGGAACCTGTCAAGGACTTTTCCTCTTGAAAAATCATGAAGCTTTGGTCCACAACGTTGTTAAAGGGCTTTCAAGGAAGCAGAGTGCCTCCTTCCACACTCCAAGTAGTCCAAAGCAACTGTGCCCAGACGGTAAGGACTTCCTTCCTGGCTGGGGTGGGCGGCAGCTGGGATAAACACTCATTGAAGCCACTCGGTGCTGTCCTCACTGCTTGCCCCGGGAAAGGGCCAACCCGGAATTTCTGGGTGAGTCAGTTGGGCCTCTCCCACCCATTCTTCTGAACCTCATTCACATCCAGAAAGAGAAGGCTGGAAAATTTGAATAAGCAAAAGACCCAATGACATTGCCCTCAATCAGCTCAATTAGTGTGGTTGTGAATGAAGATCAAACAGGTCAAAGGGAATATTGACAAATGTATCAGCTACCTGGTTTGCAGGTCCCTTTGAACAGCTCAGATCTTGGTGCAGTTTCTATAGGTATTAAAACAGAAAGATTAATTTAATAAGTGACTAGAGTAACATCTGGGGGAAAATTATATTCAGCTGTATGAGATAAAGACCACTGTAGAAGCAATTTCTTCAGGCATGCTCTGCTTTTTCTTTTGAAGGGCTCTCTTATGCCTGATGTTTTATATATAGTATTAAAATATAACGGTAAAATATTTCTTGAAAAAAAAAGATAAAAAGAATTGAAATTAAAGGGAATACCAACAGATGTGTGTGAAAGAAAATAAGATGGGGAATGCAGACAAGTGAATAATAAATGGGGAAGTGCCTGTCTGGATGTTGTTAGTGTCTCCAGAAGTTTTCCCTTCAATCTTCCTGTGAGCTACATACAGTGCAGTGGTTAAAAGTTCAGGCTTTAGGGGCAGAATGTTTAGGTTCAAATTCCTACTCTGCCACTTAGCTGTGTGACTTTGGGCAAGTACCCAACCTCTCTGTGCCTCATTTTCCTCCTTGGTGAAAAGAGAAAACAACAACTATGCACTCAACTGGTTTTTTGTTTTGTTTTGTTTTTGAGACGGAGACTTGCTATGTTGCCCAGGCTGGTGTGCAGTGCTGCAATCTTGGCTCACTGCAACCTCTGACTCCTGGGTTCAAGCGATTCTCCTGCGTCAGCCTCCCAAGTAAATGGGATTAAAGGTACATGTCACCACACCCGGCTTTGTATTTTTTAGTAGAGACGGGGTTTCACCACTTTGGCCAGGTTTGTCTCTAACTCCTGACCTCAAGTGATCCGCCCACCTTGGCCTCCCAAAATGCTGGGATTACAGGCATGAGCCACCACGCCTGGCCTCAACTGGTCGTTCTGAAGGCTGTATGGACATGATGCACATGAAACAGTGGCTGGTCTGGGACACAGCCAACCAAGGGCTGCTCCATGACATTTTCATTGTTTTAAATATATGAAAAATAATACCTGAAGCATTTTTATACAGAAAGGTTGCTTTTCCCCCCTGAAGAAGTAAAATATCTGCCTAGGTGGATCCTTTCTTTCAGCTGTTAAATACATATTGAGTGTTCCCTGCCAGGAATCGGATACCACTCTGAATACATTTGGGCTGAAATATAAAAATATCTGCAGTATTATTCTGACTGTTTCTGTGACAGTTTAAATGTCAATTGCTTTCT